CCATTCTGTTCCGCGAAGGCAACCTCCCTTGCTTCATCAACTCGGACCCTCCCTGAGATATCCCAGGCGGCGCGCCCAGGTCCTAGGCGGACGGCGCCCAGCTCATGGAGGGACCTGAGTGTTTCCAGGATGAGATTATTGTCCAGCTTGGCGACTTGGCACGCGGCCAGGATGCGGTTCGAGGGAGCCACAGGCGAAAGTCCAGTTGCTTGATCTCTGTGCTGGGCCCAGACTTGCTGTAGGACGTCAACCGGTTGCGGCGCGGCAGTCGGCTCCAGTGTTCGTGGCTCCTGCATTCGCGGCCTTGCCCTTCTCTGCCCGTCGCCTGGGCCCTGCGCCCTGGGGGCGCGCCCGGTGATGCCCCTGGGCGGTTCTGAGAGCCCGTCCGTTGCAGTTCGCCCGGCTTCCCTGGCCCCTTCCCACACGTCAATGAAAGAGCGGGCGTTGCCTTCCCCTGGTCTCGAGGCACCTGTCCGACCTCTGGAGCGAGCTCTGTCCACCTGGGTCAATTTCTCCCTGCTGCCTGTTCCGACTCCTAATGTGCAGTCGTCTGGTTTCTTGCCGCTCTGGCCCCCGGCTGTGCCGGCTCCTGTGGTTGGCAGTGCGGGGGGGCTGCCTCACTGGTGCTCATTGGGGCCTTGGGTGATCACTTGGTGCAGCCTCTCGCTCAAAAATGGTGGGAGGATGAGCGGCGGCTGCCAAGGGCTGCCCAGGGGCCTGCTGCTGCTCCTCCGGGCGGGGCCGGTCCGTACGCAAGTTGGGCCAAGACGAGTCAAGAGCTGCCCTGAGCTGGCAGGCGTCGACCGCGTCTCTGGGGCTCTCCTGGCTGGAGCTGCCTCCAGCGATGGCTTGGATCCCTGCGCATGCTGACTCCGCTGTTAGCGCAGCCGTTCGAGAGAAGATATTCCTACATGTCTGGTTTCTGGCTCCGGGCAAAGGATTGGCGCTCCAGTAGGCGGAGAAGGGGGCCAGCAGCCTGTCTGCGAGGGAGAGCCGTGCCAGCATCATGCGGACCCGCCCCTCCAGCTGCGGCATTGAGGTGCCCCAGGCCATTGCACTTAAGACGACCCTCCATTTGTCCCTGTCGGGGCAAGCTTGCCTTTCCCACCGGGGCGGAGGGGCAAGGGGGGCCAGGGCGTCGGCCGCAAGGCTGAGCAGTTTGGCCCAGTCTGCTTCCATGCAGGGGGGTAAGGTGTTACTGCCCCTGGGGGCGCCACCTCTGCCAAGCGGGTCGCAGTCTCTCCTGCTGGGCGCGCTGTCGGGGGGCGGCCAGGCACTAGGCTCTGCGTCGGCGTTTCTGCGCTCTGAGTTGCTAGCGTCACCTAACCCTATTTGCTGCTCCTGGGCCGGGCTACTTCCATCAGCCTGTTGCCTGTCTGGGGACCGCATAGGCGCCCCTTGTGTCGCTCCGTCCTCGTCATGAGCTTCTTGCTGCGATGATGTGGTTCCCTGAGAGGATGTGGCACTCTGGGCTGCGGGAGGGGGCTGGTCTGGCGCGCACCCCGGGCTCTGGCAGCGGGCGCCCCGTTGCCGCGCCCGGCCGCGCACCCGCACTCTTCGGAAGGGTTCGAGCTGACACCGGGGTCTTGGCTGATGGCCGGTCGCACGCGGGCGTTGTCCTCACTCGGAGCGGGGCCATTGCCAGGGAGGTGTCCTCCTGCAGGAGCGTCGGCATTGGTGGGGCGTGGGATGTCAATGCACTGTCACGGGGAAACTACGACTGATGGTCGAGTCAGTGGGATGCCCCTCCGGGAGTTGGCGCGCTGACTGCCGTCAGCGGCGGGGTCCTCTGTTGCTCGCGCCGCATGAGGGTCTGGCGCCTGCGCTCTGCCAGCTCTGTGCGCGAGGCCTTCCGGCGCCGCCGGTCTGCCAGGGGTTCGGCTGCGCCTCTGCCGTGCCGCGGAGCACTGAACCGGCCTGGGACCAGCGCTGCATTGGTTGGGGACTTGGGCACACCTGGTGGTCATACTAGGCCTGAGCACTCTGCCGGGGTCGCGGCGTCACCGTTCGCCCTGGGCCAAGTTGCGCAGCCTGTCAGAAAGCGTTTCCAGTAGGGCCTCCGTGCCCAGAGCGAGGGGGTGACTGGTGGACCCGTCGGTTTCAGCACCCCGGCTTCCGGGCACTTCGAGCCAGGGGTGACGCGGGGTGTAAGTGGAGTCCGGCTCAGGCGCGAGCCACTGCGCGAAGGGGAGCTGCCTTGTTGCCTCTTCCCTTTTCCCTAGCTCGCCGATTAGTTGGAAGACATGGTCTCTGTCTAAGTTACTAGGGTCTGCCAGCTGACGGATCCATATCGCGGCGAATAGGTCCCAATTGTAGCGAAGTGTTGGTCCGCCTTCGCACGGTCGCTGCTGCTCTAGGACAAGCCTGGTCTGTTTTCTTCTTGCCGAGTCGCGGATGCTTTGCCCCCTAACGCAGGCCAGGAATCGACCATGCATACCACGAGCAATCAGGACCGCATCATCGTCGGCCCTCACTAGTTGCACGTTCGATCCCGCTGCTGCTCGGCTCCTAGGCATGAGCGCCTCCGCCAGGTCGGGGAAGGTTATTGGGCGGGCTGGCCCTGGCAGCGGCTCTACCGCAGCTCTGCTCCTGGGCGGGAGGGTAGGGCCTACGGTCTGGCTGGTGTCCATTCCGAGGTCAGCTGGCGCGGGTGCGGCGGCTGGCGCGGCGTCGACCTTGGCAAAGTGCACTGGGCCGGAGACCAGCTGAAGGCTCGCGCGGGCTCGCGGTCGGTCTGCTTCCCGATTTGCGGCTCTCCGGTCTGCATCGGACGGCAGAACGACTGTGACCCACGTGGGGGCCGAAGTAAAGAGAAAGCCAGACTCACCGCTCGTCGCTACGTCAACCGCCCCCCCCGCCGCGACGGCGGCCACCAAGTGCCCCCCTGGGTGGAGGATGGCGTGGAAGTCTCGGAGACCTTCCCGGTCTTCGGTCAACCTCCTGACGGCCATTGGGGCACATTTGCTCATGGCAGCATCGATGTTGTGGAGCCAGTCTTCCGTGAGGGGCGGAAGTGGCGCCCTGGTATTGGCGGGGTGGTCTCTGCCGTCCACTCCGGCTGGAAGTGGCCAGACTCTGGTGTGGAGTTGCACTCCGGGGGAGCCTATTCCGGCTGAGAACATTCTTAATGTGCCGTGCCCTGGCAGCCAGGGATCTGGACGCATGTGTCGGGCCTGCACTGCTCCTATCTGCTCACCACGCCGATCGCGGACTGTGATTTCCAGAATTTGTGGCTGGACCGCTCTCCTTGGTGCCTGCCGCACGGTTGCCTGGGCGAGGGTTTCGATGTGCTCTTGGTGGTCACGGGGGGGTCCGCCGTCACTTCTCACTTGTTCCCTTGAGGGGGTGGCTGGGAATATGCGAATAACTTGCGGGCCAACTGCAATGCAACTCGTCCCGGAAAAGGCTGCCGCCATGGTGGCAGCCGCTGCCATCCGTATGCGCACCTGCGTCATATGTCTGTAGTCTGCGCAGTCGAGGAACCATGCATAGACTGTGGAGATCTGCTCTACTGCGCCCGTACCAATGGTGGTTCCTATGGCGTCGACGACGTCCTGTTGTCTGGTCTGTCCTATGTCTGCCAAATCCCATCTAAGGTGGAAGCCGTCCTCCGGGTCGGCCAGTCGCACATACGAGGGTCCGCCATTCCAGTCTCCGTCCAGGAGGATTATTCTGGGCTGGCGCTGCCGTTCCCGAGGGTTCCTGGGAGCTCCTCTCTGAGATGCCTTAGGATAGGAGCTGCTATCCTCGCTGGGGTTTTGATTAGCAGCAATCCCGCACCACATAGCCCGACCCTGTAGCCAAGAATTGACCTGCAGTCGGCGTGGGAGCACCGGACGGGTAAGGGCGGGGTGCGGCCGGGCGTACAGGAACGCTGTGGAGTCAGGCAAGAGGAGGAAGAGGGGCGCACCGGGCCATCACGCAGCCACCCGGCAGGTTGACGCAAGGTTCACCCAAAAAGGGCCACGCTGATTGGGGATCTCACGGGGGGGCAGCCGTGTGAGAGGGCGAGCGGGGACGGCTGCAAACGGAGGCCGACGAGATAAGCGACAGTGAAAGGCCACGCGACCAACCAATACGGCGCAGCACTGAGGATGGAGCAGAGCGCCGTTCCACCGAGGCGGAGCACTACGAGGCAGGACCAGGCGAGACGAGTGGGGAAAGGCAACAGGCACTGACGGGGCGAAGAAACCGCCAAGCAAAGGCGAAGATACTGAGCCTAGGATCGGCCTGGCCTGGATCGATGTAGGTGCGTGTCCTCTTAGGGATAGCGGCACGGCGAGAGGATCGAGGAGTTGGGCGTCCGCATCGGAGATCGAAGCTGGAACTGAGGACCGAAGATCGATCGGGGAGCCACCCAAGGCCACCGTGGACGTCCCAAGACATCTGGGAGCCCCAGGAGGTGGCAGCACGCAGCGCGGGATGGGACAAGGGGGCGGGCTTCTGAGAAGGCAGAGGGGTTTTGTTGGAGGACTCGGAGGCATCTCTCTTTTCGGTCAGCAGCCGCGGCCGAGGCACTCGGCTAGCAGGGGGCGCACGCCAGTGAATTAGGCCCGGCGGGAGCGTCTCACAGGGCCTCTCAGATCTCAGAACGCGAGTGGGATCTTTAGAGCAGGAGCCCTTTTGCGACGGCGACGGCAACAGCGACGATGACGACGACAGACGCAGACCAGGGCAATGACACACGCCGGCAGACGACGACAGACGGCGACAACTGCTACAGGCGGCAACCAACCCAGACATCCGAGGTCGTGACCTTTTCACACAACGTTGCTCCCAAGAAATCTGCACCCCTTCCCCAGGACCGGCTTTTGATCCCGAGTCGCTTTTAGACAACCCTTGCCCTGCGAGGGCCCCCTCAGGCCGAAAACTGACAAAAAGCCTCCCGCCGCGATTTTCTCAATGGCGACAGGACGTCAGGGGTCAGGGGAGCACGGCGCCTGACGGCGGCAACGACAACAGACGGCGACGGCGACCACGACGGCGGCTGCAGCCGCCGC